CTTTCCCTGCTGACGTCTGGGCCATTGCCTGGTGGCAGCGGCTGCACACCTTGTGTGGGAAGACCAGGGCATGGGGAGAGCATACCTGAATCAAGAATTTTTAAGAACTTAAATCTGTATGCTAGGCTTATTCCTTGACCCAGTTTTTCCCTCCTGTTTCTTTTTTATTCTTTCTTTTTTTCCTCTCACAATTATTCTTGGTCCTTTTGAACATAACTGTGACCTCGGCAGGGTGAGGTGGTGCCCACCACCTTTCAGTCACTTGCCAAAATAGCAGATGCCGGAGGCTGGTGCAGTCGGAGTTGCTCTCATGGAGTCAGCTCTAGGGCCAGAAAGGGGGTGCTCCAGCCAGAGGGAAGCGATTTGCAAGTCCTACCAGACGAGCAAGCCAGGAGCATGAAGAAGAGCAATGCTGCAGCTCCTGGCTGCCTTTCCCGTCTCCCGAGGTGGGCAGGTGGATGTGCCCAGGCAGAAGGTGGGGGGTTCAGTCCCCCTGGAGAGGGACGTAGTCATGGAGGTTCAAACCCCATCCTTCCCGAGGCAGAGCGGTCCCCTCTCCTCCCCTTCTCCCCCAGAATTAGCACCAACAAGTGATTAATGACGAGGGCCGAGGCAGGGTAGTTCTTTTGTCATAGCTGAGCAGTTGCCATCTGGGTTTTTCATGAGTCGAATGTTTAATGCCGTAGGGCCTCTGGGGCGGTGGCAGGAGACGGGGCCGGGCGCCTCTGCCGGCTGGTCTGCGATTCCCAGCCGGTCGCACCTCGTGGAGGGGAAACAGCAGCGATGATTTTGGGGTGAGGCAGCTCCGCACACCATCTGGGTTTGGATTCACAGGGGCGGCATTGTTGTAATGTGCCTGTTTTGATTAAACTGCTAAAGGATTAATTGGATTAACAATAAATTCATGGATCCCAATGAAACGGGTGTTCTCCTTGCCCAAAATGGAACTGCATGCAATGTCAGCAGCACTGGTCGGTCCCTGTGTTTAAGCTGTTAGTAGTGACGGGTGTCCCTGAGCATCAAGCTCTGTGTCAGATTGACGCCAAGGAGCCAGGTTTCCCCATTACAGGCTCTAAAGAGAAAGCTTCTTACTGACGGCAGCATCTTTCTGGCCTCTGCTTGTTCTCAGCATATGCGCATCTCAGGAACGATCCTTCAGAATAGCTGACTGAAAATCTGCTGTCAGTTGCAGCACATTTCAAGTGTAATTGACTGAGAGAGACCAGAACAATAGAAATTCAGTGAGGCTTTCTGTTTATTTCTCTTAACTGTGGAAGAGTTAGAATTTTTCATCAGTGCTAAATTAGAGATGGGATCCAAAAAGAGAGACACTAGCTGCATGAAAACAGGAAGCAAACAAACTGTATTAAGAAATATGAACAGGAAAAAAAATCATGATATTAAAAAAAAAAAATAGGTGCAGAGTTGCTGCGGTCCCATGCTCAGGTGTACGGTTTACTCCAAGCAGCTGCCAGGAGCCACGGAGCTGCAGCTCAGGCTTTCGTGCCGTAACGGGACAGGACCGATCTATCCCGATGCTTAAGGCTGGGCTAGGGTTTCTGTGCTCTCCTGGAGCAGGGCCATCGGGGCCGAGGGCTTCTCTGCACCTCAGTCCCGGCGGGCGGCAGGGGCTGCCGGTGGGACACGCGGCACGGTGGCATCGCTTGCCGGCACCCCCAGCTGCACCCGACGGCTCCCGGGTCCTTAGCCGGCGCTTTGCTCGCCCTGCGGAGCCTGGCTCGCCGCGCTCGGTGGAAGGGCACGTGGGGAGGGCTGCCCGCTTTCTGGTGGAGGCTGCGTTGGCTTTCCAACCGGCCAAGGAAATAAATAGGAACCTTGGTCTAATGCAACGGTCACTTAAAGGCAAATGTAACAAAACAGATGATTGTCTGGAGAATCGGCAGCAAGACTAGCAGGGTTGATCAGGGTCATTTGGCACATGGACAAAATCTTCCTACTCCCTGGTTATCAATCATACAACATACAACCTTAATTACACAATTTTGGTCCTTCACTACATACTTATATTAACATTATTTCTTCACAATAATGATATCTAATGCAAAAAATACTGTTAAGGAAGAAATGAAATAAGAAAAGAATTAGCAAAAAATTACAAGTTATATACAGATTAAAATAAATTCCATCAGGAAAAGAAACAATTCTTTTATTATTTTCAGTTGGCCCCTGTGGGAATAATTTAAAGGCCAAGCGCCTGGGCAGGGCTGTACTGCAGCAGCAGCAGAGGCAGATGTGCTGGGAGGGGAACGTCCCATCTCCTTCGTAGAGACTGGTTTCTTTTGACATTGTCAGCTCTCGGGCTCCATTTACCCAAGAGCTTTGTGCAAATAGACGAAGGGGCCTGGCTCAGGAGGGCTGTTGGTCCAGGAGCCCTGGGCCCTTGCTGGGGCGATGGTGTTCCCCGTTGCTGCAGGTGGCAGCTGTGGCTTTGCCGTGACTCCGCACTCGCTGCCGAGCCAGGAACCGACTGCAGCTGTGCAGCGTCCTGGCTGTTCCTCCTGCCTCCATCCCCTTCCCGGCTCCTGGGTTCAACTGGGATGGAAAAATAATGCAGGGTCCAGGGCTGGGGCGAGAACACTTAAATAGGGATTTGCATTTACCGGACCATGCAAGAGCTTTGTGTCTATCCACGCATTATCTCTGATTATTACACCTAACTTAGGCTTGCTTTTTGGTGGAGCAAACATGGGCAGCTCAAGTGGGCTGACATACTCCTGGTATGAAAAACCAGCTCCTGACCCCCTGCAAAGCTTGTTGAGAGCAGACTGCGCTGTCAGCAAGGAAGGCATTGCGTGTCGCTGGAAATATAAACCGTGGGCGCTTGACTCGTGCTGACAGAGAGGGTTGGGCTGTGGGCACCGGCTCTGCAGAGGCAGTGTGGTAAGCACTACGGCTCAGTGTCTTGCCCCCGTGGCAAATGATAATTTACAGCAAAAGACCATTGCAAATTCAAATTGGAAAAAAAAAAAAAAATTCAAGTTAGGTGGTACTTCTACAGGAGGCGTGATCTCAGGAGAGCTGGGCACGTTCAGCCATCAGTTCTGACAACGCTGGTGTACAGCTTCCCATAAATATTGTTGCATAAACACCTATTTTTGGACCATAATTTCAGCCCCCTCCCCAAGCCCAGCACCCGAAAGATGAAGGCCAGCAATTTGCCATGAGCTACCAAAGTCCGCTGTCTGCTGACCAGAATCGATTGCTTCTGAACTGTTCCTTCTGATGTCTGGCCGAGGGCATGCGCCGGTGTCGGCGTGCATGCTCTCGCGGCGTGCCCGCAGGCCAGCCCATGCCGCTGTCGTGAACTAGTTAGGCTCGGCGCTTCAGCGTCGCTCAGACAACTCCAAAAGCAGCAGCGCAGTCTGTCAGGCAATGATAACCGCTCACGTGGCTTGTAAACAAGTTTGTTAAATAGGTCGTTGGCTTCTTCAGGTGGCTGCTTGGTCACACCGAGGGAGCGCTCCCGGCAGCTGCAGGACCTAGTGGTTGACCGGCCGGAGCCCCCCCTGGGGCGGAGGTGACCCGGTGGCTGCCGGGGGCCGCACAGCTGGAAGGCAAGCCAGGACAGGTCAGTCCTCACCGTGTGTGCCGTGTCGGCTGTGGGCAGCCCGCGGCTCAGGAGGGGAGATGCTACAGGGCTGACCCACCCGCGCAGCCGCTCTGCCTGGGGGGCAGCGGCCTCCGCCCTGCTCCCGGCCAGGGGAAGGCAGGAGCCGGGAGCGCTGTCCCCACCCTGTTCTGCACCCGCAGCCTGGCTCTGTGGCTGCACATTGGAGCAGCATTTTTAGGTTGCTGCCTGCAGCCGTGGTGCGCAATCGGCCACTTGTCGGGGTCTGTTACTGACCTGGGACCAAGGGAGGGTGCTCGGCCAACCCGTTCAGACGAGGCGTACCACCTGCAAAGCAAGTCAGATCGTCCTGCCACCCATCCCCGCAGCACCCCTGCACAGCACCCATGGAGGAGTCGCTCTGAGCCAACAGGTTCAATCACGGTTTGGGCAAGGTGTGTGTTTTTTCCACCGTGGTCAGTGCACGGATCATTTTGTTCCAGCATGCCCAGAAAAGAGTGGGCTTTGTGTCCTGGCTTTACCACGGGCACATTTGGGGTTAGACTGCTGAACAGCTTTATTTTCACAGCACTGTCGGCATGCAGCCTGCGTTTTCATAAAACCTCCCTCATGGCTGGGGTGACAGTGGAGGGCCATGGGAAGAGGCAGGTGCTACACTATGTTACTGGTTTTAGTTGAGAGTACCACTACCAAAACCAACCCACCAGGGCATGAGCCACGACCCAGGCACAGGTACCACACCATCGCCCCGCAGCAGTTGCTTTTGCATTAGGCTTCCGCCACCGTGCGCATCCAGTGGTACTGCGGCGCTGCGCCCATACGTTACCTTCCCGACACGTCGGTCCCATGTACCCGTTCAGACAGAGGCACTGGCCGTTCTGAGCATTACAGTAGGAGTTGCTGGGGGCACACTGGCAGGCCAGGCTGCAGTCCGGGCCGTACTTGGTCGGCCGACAGTCTGGTGAGGGGGCAGAGAGGCACTTTGCTGCAGGTCAGCCTGCTTCTGCAGCTGAGCAGAAACGCTCAGACATTTCCCGCTGTGCCGCAGGCAGAGCCTGCA